AAAAAAAAAAAAAAAAAAAAAAAAAAAAAAAAAAAAAAAAAAAAAAAAAAAAAAAAAAAAATCTATTTAATTTACATATGTGGCAGATTTAAAACTAGTGTTTTAATTTTCAGGAAACATAAGATTTACGAAAATGCAAATGGATGTACTCACAGTAGCATCATCAGAACCAGTTGCAATGGCATCCCCACTAGGATAGAACTTTACTGAGTTGATATCTGATTCATGGCCTTCAAACTGTTGTACACAATGGCCAGTTCTCATATCCCACACTAATGCTTGCCTATCACAACCCTATAAAACAAAATTGTATACATACAAACTGTATTTTAGGGATCAAATTCTTAGGTAAATTATATTATTCTTCAGAAAAAAATTCATAATAATGAATTTTTCTGATATTAAATTGTAGCTAATTATTTAATGCTATTTTTCCTTCAATATTTCTCTTAATTTAAGACAACACATTATCACATCTTATGTTGTATTCTTCAGGGGATTACTTTTTTCAATACAGTAGAGTCCTTATTACCCGAGTTTCCGCTTTAACTGAGCTATCAAATGTTTCAAGGATTTTTTTTGTTCTAGTTTATTTTTAAAACTACCATCGAAAAAAATCCGAATTTTATCTTCCAAACACTCAGGGAAGGGAAATCCAACAACTTGATCCGGTGAAATGATCAAAATGATTATTTCACCAGATCAAATCCGGTGAAATAATGAAAATAAATCTAGCAAAGATGATGAAGACAGTGACGATGAAAATCAAAATAGAAAAATCTCTCATACAGAGGGACTAAAAACTACCGAAAGTTCTATTGAATATATAGAACAACAAGAGGCAACACCAGCCTTCCAGTTATCTCTAAAAAAATGGCAAAACATTACTGCAGAAAAGTGCCAAAGTAATGTAAAACAAAAAAATTATTAAGGATTTTTTAAGTAAAAACTCTTTAATTCTCGTAGTGTGTTCTTTAAGTGTTTTTAAGTAATTTAGTGTTAAGTAGTGTTTTTAACAATTGCATTGCCCAAATTATTTCAGCTCTTGAAACAATATGAAATTACATTTTTAGATTAATTACCTTGTTACATTTCATTAGGAAATTTGACGTAGCTGCTTTGGTTAGACCTCTGTAATTTGCTTGAGTAACACCTATATCCTTAGAGAAATTATCGATTCTGGGCTGCTGTTCTAAACTACTTACTACTTGCACTATGACTTATTAGAGCCCGTTTTTCCATTTTACTTAAATTGAAACACTTATGGCACAATTTGGAACGGGTTTTGCATGGCTCGTTCGGTATGCTTTCAACCTAAGAAGCAAATTAGGGATATATATAAGAATCAGTCCAATCTGGATTAAAACTACTTTCCCTGCTCATTTTATTATTTCATTATTAAGTAAATTTATAAAAAGTCATCAATAAAGATTAAAAATAAATTTCAAGAAAAGAAAAAAAAAGTTCAATGCAAGTTGGCACACACAGTACCAGATATTTCTTATTTGTTTACGAGCGCCAGAGGAACATCGTTTCTTGATTGAAGAGAATAAATATAGTAAAAAAAATATTGACTAATCTTCATTCATCCTTCTTTTAAAATGCACCATAACGTCATAATTAGAATAATGAAACTGGTGATAGCTCTACCCCCAAAACAGGAGATATTTTTACTTCATATACTTGACGAAAGTCTGGATTTTACAGATACATTTTAGCCTCATTTACGAAGTGCCTCTCAGAACACATTTGCATCAGAAAACTATCAACTTTATAAAAAAGGATTTTAATTAAAAATTACGGAAAGCTGAAAGAATTATATTTTTTCAGGTAATGTTTCCCCCCCAGTTTTTTATAAGAGATTTTCATTTTCCTGTAAGTTTTACATTCCATGAGTTTTCCAGGTTTTCCCTGAGGCATACGAACCGCATAGAGCAATAAACATAATAATTTAAAAACAAGCATTTGAGAACATTGAAAAAATGTAATACAAATTCAAATTGTAAATAAAAACAAGCTCTGTAACTCTTACATAAACAACAGAACTAAACATTGAACCACAATACTTGATATTTACNTTAATCCGCCCTCGCTGGACTAATGTAAATGTTTAATAGCCAGAGCGATTTACTTAACTCTTGTCAAACGGAGATATACAGCAAGTAGTCAGCTGAGTTTAGGATTGTGCATGATTATCTGCAAAATATGCGCCCTCGGTGATTTTCAAATTTAGTATTGCGCCCTTAAGGACAAACAGGTTGCCGACCCCTGCTTTAGATTGTTGTAGGTTGCCTATAACATTGTTAATTTCTGTTTTAGGAATCTACAGTTTTAGGAATAAAGAAGGTTAAACCAATTTACCAGGCATGGCATAAGATATCTCAATCATTTCATGTGACAAGAGCACACTCCAGTAATTATGTTGGTAGCTTTGCTAAGTCATCAAATAAAAAAAAAAAAAAAAAAAAAAAAAAGTTGGTTTCTTTTGTGGGAAAGCATTGATGTTAACAGTTACAGGATTAAAAATTTAATTAAAAATTAATTAGCAACTTAGCTAAAGTTACAACTAATTAAAATGTAAATTAATATTTAAAAAACTTGAATTTACTGAGTCCTAGAGAAATACTGGAAATTCGCATACTTCACATAACTCTCAAAAATGTACTAAAAAGTATTTTAGCAACTTTTTCTTTTTTTTTTCAAACCTAAAAACTAGAGCAAATCAGATAATCAAGAAATAAAAATCTAAATGAAAATATGAAATACCAAATTGTTTAAATAGAACCAGGGAATATTATAAAAATATCCAGTATTCAAATAAAATAAAATTAAAAAAATTAACAGGACCTTTTGAGGATGAAACTCAAAACACATAGATAAAATAAAGTTTAGAATTCACAGACACAATTAAAAAGAAGAAAAAAACAGTAATAATGGTACTTACTTGCTGGTCAGAATTGGGAAAAAGGCAACAAGACATATAGCTTGTATGTGTTCCAACAGCTTTCTTTTTTGTAGATACGTCATCTTCAAAACTGAGTGGATACACAGTGATTTTATTGTCTAGTCCTCTAGATACAAGATGAAAAATATCAATCTGTTAGATTAAAATGTACACTGAATGAAAATTTCTTATTTCTACAATTGGTATGGAAATATGGGTAAGCCTAAATTGTTACATCTCTTTGAAAGAAAAAAAAACAAACTTTCGACATGCATTTCTTGTTTATTTCATTCATAACCTATTAAAAATTATTTCAAATCAATAAGATAGAATTTAAAAAAATCTTAAAAATATTATTTTGCAGGCTAAAACATTCCTTCTAATGTAAACTTTGCTTCGTTGAAATTAAAAATAGCAGAATTATTATTCAAATTAAAATATTTTGAGAGTTATTATTATTGATATAGTTTTCAGAATTTTGCATGGACATAAATTGTTCTTACAATTATCCACTTTACTTACGATTTTCCAATGCAATTTTGATGAATAATACTTTTCAAAGTAATAACAGCCAAAAAACTCTTTAACAACACAAAGCTCATTAATTGTAAGTAATTAATTGACACTGACTTTAATTTAATTTAAAGTTATCGAAAAACTACCTAAGTTTTTTTAAATTTAAATACCCAATTGGAGTAATTTAAACATGATGGTGAGGCAAAAGCTCCTGGTGAAAGGGGGCATCTAATAAAAGGCTAAGAATACTAAAACTTTAAATCTTCAACTATTATTTTATTAAGTATTTAAAGTTATCACAGATAAATATTTGGCTCGTGAAACTTTATGATGAATAACGATATTATTTCATAATAAATTAATTATGAAATTTAGGGGCATCAAAATACAAATGAGGAAGATTACCTGTAAAATTAAACTGTTCTTTAAAAAAATTATATTCTATTAGAAATAATTTTTTTTTTATCATAGAATAATTTCTGCACAGTATTTAAAGAAAAAATAATAATAATTAAGGTTTTCATAAATGCTAATTTTTATAATTTCTTTTAAAAAATCAAATAGGTTTATTTTTTTGATTCCTCAAGTGATTACATTTGTTTCAAGGACATTTAACCAAGAAGTCCAGAGCATCCCACACCTCTGTAAATGACCGTATAAATAATATGAGAGAAAAAGTAAATTTCAGTAAAAAATAATAGTGATATTTTTTAAACTTAATATCACATAAAGGCTTCAGCTTCAATTTTTTTTTTTTTTTTTATCATATCTTAAGCAAACTATTGTATAGTAGAATCCAGATTTAATGATGTTTCTAGGACTTTTTATAAATATAGAAAGAAGCAGGAGGTAGGAATATTGAGGGCATAAAAATTGTAAACAAAACAAAACTAAATATTTTGTAATACAAACTAAGACTCCTGTATAAATCATTTTGACAAAGAAAGAACCCTATCTGTTTCATGGAAGAATAAAAATCAAGTGTGCACTATTTACCTTTGCACTGTAGTTTAAGATATTTTAATCTCTAATACTATATATTGATAATATTCTCTTGATGTTACCAATTTTTTACAAACAATGTTCGTGCAATTTGTGTATATCATACATATCTGAACAACATTAATAAAATTATAGATAAGTCAATATGTAGTCACATTTATGCCTAACTTAGTAGTTATTACCTTAATTATATAATATAATTTTGACTATACTAAAGACAAATATATGCACAGTATTAATATTTATAATTTTTTTTTTTAAAATGCAATGTCATCATAGATTCACTTACCCACAGGCAACCATATTTCCAGATGGGGCATAGGCACACGCCATAACCCAAGTAGTAGGCATTGTAATTGCATGCTCCTGAAAGTTTATTCCTGAACTTAATAACAAGATGTAATGTGGAGACAATTTAAATTAAGCAAAGAATAAAACATTAGAAATGGAAAGGAAACATTTATTATTTAGGAAATAAATTAGCTCTTTTGCCACAAGAAGCAATGGTCAGATATTGAGTTGCAGACTCACAAAGAATCAATTACAGAAGCTTTTGATAAATTAANATACAATAGAGCAAACTTAGTGCTAGTATGTCTATTTCTGTGCTAACATTTGTGCTTTATTCACACTATTTTTCTTGCTTTAGCTTTTGACATAGCTTGTAGATACTAATTATAAAATTAAAATATCAATTCTTATTTTTCATATTAGGATAATTGTTTTGCTGCCTTGCAGTACCATCACCCTAGCTCAGAATTTATCTGAAAACCCCTAGGTCTGCTTGCAATCATTGTCTTAAAAATAAGGATTGATCCTTAATCATTATGGTTATATATAATCAAAATGTGCAATTACAATAATTTATATTATAGCCTTAGTTATTTTCACATTCTTTTCAAAGGCTAAATGAAATAAAAAATGAGTTAATATATTTACATTTTTTGCTTTAGGGTTTGCAGATATCAGTATGAGGGTAATATCTGCTGCAGCGGAAAAAGGCCATGCCAGACTACTTAATGTTGCATAGTACAAGAAAAATCAAAAGAATATTGATAATCTTATAATTAATAATAACAATACAATTTATAATAATAAATTTAATACTTAAAATTTTTTCCCCATTGCTGAATTTATATTTTTAAAAATTTTTTGAGGTAATTTTGTGTAAATCTTGATAAAAAGAAGAATTACAATTTAGATTTGAATTGACTTAAAAGTAACAAGTTGGGTTTCACTAAGGCAGAAGTCTTTATGCGATAAACCCTTTAAAAAAATTCAAACCGTTAAAATATTGAGTTTTTAAATATTACATCATAAACAGTTCTGCAAAAATATTTTGTTAAATACTTAGAATTCCTTACTGCAATTTAAAAGAAAGATAAAAAAAAAAAAAGAAAGGAAAGAAAAAAAACACACAATCACCCCATTTTATGGTAGTACATCGAAAAATTTAACTTTGCTAATAATAAGAATAAGGAAAAATATACATTTAATTCCGATAATTTACCTTATTAGTAGTAAAAGCATCCCATATAATCATTTTGCCATCCTGCAAGAAAATGTTTTTGGTGAATTACTAAGAGTTGACTATAATAAAACTTAATTAGACAAATTGATAAAAATTATAGTTTAATTAAAGTTTCTATAAATAAATTACTAAGAAAATCCATTAAGCAAATTTACCTACTTAATTATAATTTATAATAATAGTAATTTTCATTTCAATTTTGATACATTATAGAAGCAAAGGTGGTGAAAATATTTTTTTGTAACAAAATGGAAGCTTATAAGATGCCAGGAAGAATTTTTAAACATAAAATATTTTTATACACGAAGACTTGATTTAACACATGAAAACTTGAATAATAAAATACAATTCATGATTTTTTAAACCTTCGGGGACATTCCTACTGAATGTTGTTTGATAGTTTAACTTTAAATGCACCCTTCAAATTCTCAATTTCCAAATGTATATTTTGTATACATTTTTAATTTGATGAAAAAGTGACAATAAATACTGTCATGCAGAACTGGAAAATATTTTGTATTAAAGTGAAAAATTTGTTTGTAAAACTTTGAATTTTATAAAAAATCGTTTCTTTAAAACGAAAAAAAAAAAAAAAAAGGAGGAAGAATAATATCTATTTCTCTCTTAAGAGGAAAATCAATGAAACTTTTTCCAACTTGTTTTCGAATGGCACTGTCATAATAGTTTGGAGTGGGCTCCAAAAGTTCTGAGACGGGGTAACAGAACCCACTGTTTATAATATTGCTCACTCTACTGAAGTTTGTAGACAATAACTTAGACTTTTGCCGCTCCGCTGTGCCAGCTTTGTTTTATCTTTTCTTTTTAGCTAAAAAAGAAAATTCCTTTCTTTATGTGTGCTCTTGGAGTTTCACACACAAGCATAGATTTCTCACTGACAATCAAAAAGTAGTTCTACAAATGCGCTATTCAAAATTTCCAGTTTATGATAATGTAGCATTAAAAAACTATGAAAATTGGTAACAATAACTAGCAAAAATGCGATCGTAAATCTATGTGAGATTGTGGGTGAATCATCATTAGTTGAGTGCGAAATGGACTATTCGAAGTTTGTCAATCAAATTAAAATCATATTAAAACAGAGAGATTTTAAAAATAAAGTAAAAATCCATTTCATTAGCAACCAGAAAAACTATCGGTAAAACCACATGTATTCACTGTGGAATCATCGCTAATTGAGAAATGATTACTTACTGAAATGCGTGATTTAGAATTTGCATAGAGATTTTAAATACCATGTGAAAATTTGTAACAAAATCTTTAGAAATTGCGCAACCACGCGGATTTATTCGTTGTTTATAGAAATTGATGTTAATTATCGTCTATTTGTTATTTTTTATTGAATTAGGATGTTTTGATATTTGTTTATTTGAAAGACCTGTTATCCGACAAAATCTGTTTCTTTCTATGTCAAACAAAATTTGAACCCCATTCGAATAATCATTTAGTGATGCACTTCTTTCACAGCAATAATATATCATCATAAATACATGTGGTCTAGTGAATTCTTAGATCGACATTTATTGGTACAGATTTCAAATTGCACATTTGAGTAAGTAATCATTTTTCTACCCGAGTAAGTAAATCATTTTTTTGAGTAAGTAATCATTTGCAATTTTTATCTCTTGATTGCTAAAAGAGGAGTTGCTTACTTTTTGTGTTGCTAAAATTTACAACCAAAAATGCAAAAGTGGTCATCACTTTTTAGTACAGTACAGAACCCGTTATCCGGAAATCAGAAAACCGGAAAACCAAAAAACCGGAATGAAATTCGATACATTTTCCCACCCTTTCTGAAAGAAAAAATTTTTTTTTTTCCTCCTAAGATTTTAGGATTTTTCTTTCTTTTTTGAAAGATGTTTACCTTACCATCATTTTGGAAATAATCATTAGAGTATTACTCCATCGTTTTTTCTTCTTTTTAAGATTATTTCCAAAAAAAATTTTTTTTTAGTTGGGTTTAACAAT